AACATAGAACTTTGCACAAATGTGCGGAAGTTCAAGTTGCCACACTTCGTGTAGCACGCGAAGCAAGAGAAGAAAGTACAAGAAAAGCATAATAGAAACAGTGAGCAGAGGTGTGAGACAAAGGAATAGTAATAACGAAGAACAAAACAGTTTCATTGGAGATCATAAGTCACAAGGAGTGGATGCATATGCGCTAGCCACTGAGAACGATGAGTTTGAGCCATGTCACCAATTGTTTCCAACCATAGATTTTTACCGTCCCGAGGACCCCAACCAGTCTGGAAGTCTACACCTTCCTACGTGGCTTAGACCAACTGTTGTGGATTTCATTGACTGGTGAGGCCAAGTTTTTATTTGACCGCCGCTAGCTTTTTTCCAGCCTGACCCTATATCCACTAACATTGCTCGTCGAGGGAGGCGATGGCTTGGCATACGTAACACATGTCCTAACCATCTCAGTCGATGTAACTTCACGACTTCGTCGATCGATTTCCCCTGTTTACCTAGAACTCGACTGATGCCTAACCTCAATGTTGCTCACCTTATTATGCCACTTTACACGGGAAATAGAACGCAGGCACCTATGATCAAAGACAGCTAGTCTTTTCATGTCTTCCACTCTCAGTGGCCAGGTCTCACAGCTGGCCATAAAGGAGGACGGAGCGGACTGATGAGCAGTACACCCGCCCTTTGGTCGATAGTCGAACATCTCGTCTACGCCAGAGTCGGCGTAAACTGGCAAATGCGAAACGAGCCCCCTGTATTCGTGCTGAGATTTCGTCAGAGATCAGCCCGTTGGCACTGGCTGATGGTACTTCCCAAATAAGTGAAGCGGTCAACGTGCTCTACCACTTCACTTCCTATTTTTAAACTAGGCGTCGATGTGGTCCAGTCCTGTAACATCATCTTGCATTTGGCGGGAGCGAATCGCATGCCAAACATTCGTAGATTACAGCTGAAGGTGTTTAGAAGACTCTGCATTTCGTCAGCGTCTTCGCCTAGAAGGACTATATCGTCTGCATATTCCAAGTCAACGAGATTATTCCACGGTAGCAAGTCAGTCCCTGAGTCGCTGAAGTCACCTAGGGTTAAGTCCATTAACACATCTATGATGAAGTTGAATAGAAAAGGAGATAATGGGCATCCTTGACGGACACCACTGGTCGTCATCAGTTCAGATGACAGCTCGCCGTAAGCCCTCACCTGGCTGTATGAGTACGAGTAGAGTGCCTTAATCAGTGCAATATATTTTCTCGGAATTCCCTTTACAGCCAAGCATCTCCAGAGAACTTCTCTATCGACAGAGTCGAATGCTGCCTTTAGGTCAAGAAATATAATGACTGTGAATGCCTTGATATGATTGTGACTGGCAGTTGTAATAAACTGTGCTCGAAATGTGGTCGTTTCACTAAATATTACTTACTGTATAACAAACACTGTGAGACTTCGTTGGTACTAGATGGTTGGAGGCGATCGGCCACAGGAAGCCTTGGCTGTACCTAGGTTTTGTGCTAGTTGGCACTCACCAGTCAGCAAGGCATATCTGCAACCTTGAAGGAACTCATATCCATTCTGAGATTCGAACCGGCTTCAGTTAAAGACGCTACCACTGAGGAGCTATCTGGGCTGGCTCGTGATTGACCTCCTGTGGGACTGTACTGGATATTTTTTGATTGGACACCAGTTACTGACTAGTGTGCAATCAAAAATACTGTGACACTTTATCAAGATAAATTCTACTCCTGTACCACCACAGTGCAAAAGTTCTATTCTTATATCAATGAAAACATGATGATTTGATTGAAATGGCATATTACATTTGTCAGTCGTATCGGCACTATTCTAGAGTCATTAGTGCTTAGCATTTCAAGGACTCCAGACCAGAAGTTCATACCCTTTCAACAGACGACATGGGTAGAGATATCGAAACCCAGTCAGAGTTAAAAAAGGCAAGACAGACCTTCATTACTAATGAAATCAGTGTAGAGAGAAATCCTATGCACTCAGAATAAAGAATGAAAAATAGGATTTTCAACACGCAGAAACTTGGCGCGTCAGGAAGATTATTTCGAACAGTTCGTGGACTTTTATCAACAGTTGCCTTCACTGGCTGCAAGGCAACTGAAAATCGGTTGGCCAGAAAGGAATACTAGTAAAAATCCTCCAGAAACAAGCGAACAAACGACCTATAGTTTGATAAATATTCCGAAGAAAGTGCAAATACATAGGACATACACTGAGGAAACTCCTAAGTAACATCGCACTAAATGTAGGCCATCGCTGTAGTGGAAGGTGAATAGGTAACTAGCAGTTAGGCGTTGATCCGAAGGGGACATGGAGGAGGTCGTGTGAGTTGTAAAAGAGATGAAAACTTATGATTAATCGCGGGGTCAGCAGAACAGGACTGGGGAGAACAGGAAAAAATTGGAGATGTCCTGTTGAAGCCCTATGTTCCACTTGGAACCCAAGGGAATAATAACAGTACATGGCTTAGACTTCATGCTTTGATGCTGTGCACCAGGGTTGACCACCCCTAACTCTTTTGATTCTCAATACTGTACTGCTTATTGTGAACTGACTATTACGAGTAATGTCACAACTACATACACTATTATTATTATTATTATTAACATTGTGACGAATCCTTGGTTGCGCCTAGGTTTCGTGTTAGTTAGCACTCACCAGTCAGTCAAAAAGGCGTATCTACAACCTTGAAGGAACTCATATCCCTTCTGAGATTCAAACCGGCGTCACCCAATGAGTGCTGCAGTTAAAGACGCTACCACTGAGGGCTGGCTTGTGATCGACCTCCTGTAGGACTGTATTGGATATTTTTGATTGAACACCAGTCAGTAACTAGTGTAATGTGTCTAGCACTGTCTTTGGTGTGGAGTGAATTCTATCAGTCAGGTTTACAATGTGGCCAGTACGCTGGCTATATGGCTCGTGATCACGGTGTACTGCGAAATGCAGATACTACTTTACTTAATTAAGTGGGGTATAGAAGCGCGCGTCCACCTATTGGAAATTACACCAGCGAGCGAGCAATCTACCACCGACTCATAATATACAGAATATAGACACTTATTCACATGGATACCAGTTCCATGGTAATCGAATAAAGGTTATCTGTTTCAACATACATTTGAAAAGAAATAACGCCATATTTAACCACAGATGCATTCATCCTGTGCGTCTGTGGCACAGCGGTAGAATACTTGCCAACCACTTGTGTGATCCGGGGTTCGACCCCCGGCCGATGCACTCCTTTACCTCTCTAAGCCAGTAATAAGACTGATAAAGAGGGAAGGTTGGGAGTGGGGGGCTAGCAACCCCATCCCGTAAAAATAAACACCATTGCCACTGAAACTTCAAGCCTGTCGCTTGAAGATGCTGCCCAATGTTCCACTGGGAACCTGAAGGAATAAAAAAAACGATGCAGTCCACAGTAAACCTTGGTATAAACTCAGCAGTTAAGACTGTGTTAACTGAAGTGAAATTCACAATATGAAAATTATACACAGTTCGATGTGATAAATCATCAAAGTTTCCTTCATGAAATCAAGAAGTACCTAGATCACAATATGTGTGATCTGTCTGAAACTATGAATACCGATCAATAAGGCAACCAGTTTAGCAAGATGGTGGTATACGCTACTGATGGATATCTGAAGAAATTCTTATAATAATAATAACAATAATAATAATAATAGTAATTTGCTTTATTTCAAAACAGTACTTGTGATACAGAATGGAATTCTCAGCATTTCACTACATACAGTATTACATCCAGTTTGTACATTAACAATAAATAAAATTCTACATAGATTATGGGTAATCTCAGTTCCTTTTGACAAACAACATATTGGCATGTCGGTAGCAAAGCCAAAAATTGAACAAAGTGTTTGAAGAAAGAAAACGTTGTACCTATAAATGATATGAATTGGAAAGACAAGATCCAGTTGTTCTACTGACCATTTAATAAGTTATAGGTATCACGCCTAATGCTTTCTTTATCGCACAGAACACGAACGAGCCAAGTATGGTATGTTTGAGTTTTTGTACTTGCTAGTGCGAGCTAATAGTTTCCTATATAGGCTTCTGGTTCTGCCTGATGAGATAGATACAAGGGGAGAGTTGTGAATGAAGAGGGTGGTGTGAGTTAGATAGATAGATAGAATGGATTTAGCCCATTTTTCATATGAGTCCAAGTGCCTGTCAAGCAGAATATTAACAAGCTGGTGAAGTGGCACCCTGTGGTTTACCCTGTTGACAACCTTTAATATCCTGGGTAATAAGATATAGTCTTTCTTCAGTAGCCTTGTGTTTTAGGCGGAGAATAAGAACTCTGCGGCACATCCGCATTTTAATCAGTTTTCCGTTATGACTTTTACCTGACTACAAGATGGCGATTTTCTCGCTACATGATCTCCCCCATGTAACCCTCAAATGCATGTTTAACTCATTGCTTGCTGTCAGGATCGAACTCGGAGGCCTGGTGTTTAAGACGATTGGAGGTTTCCTTAGCCTATGGTCAGTTCAGTTCCATTTGCGCTCCTAAAACCAGGAAGTGCGGAAGAATTGGCATGGGGTTTTCTGTCACACCCTGTAAGAAACATCTTTATCGTTATGGAATCATCGAAAACACAAAAAAAGGAAATTATGCTTTCCGGGAGTGCGAAATACTTCTCAAATCGAGAATGGGTAGTAATAGTACCTTGTAATAGTTGTTGGAAAGCCAGTAAGCGCAAATGTCTTTTTCTATGTTAGTAAGAGTGGGCCTGAGGGCATAAAATGTCCACATCATCTATGTGACTGGAAAGGCTGTTCAGACTGCAGTAATTCACAAACTGCACAAATTTGAAGCTGGCAGCTGTGGTTTCATTGAAACCTCTAAGAATACCAGTATAAAAAATACTTCTACAAGGGAGATATTCGGCCCTACACAAACATATTGATAAAAGATCCACTAACATAAGAAATTCAAACATAAAACTTACCTGAATTAAAGAGAATTAATGCTTTTAAACAAACATATTCTGATTGATCAAGGTTCAATTGTTGTAAGTGTTCCAGTTGATCTTGAAATATTCTTGAATACTGTTGATGCAATTTAAATGAATCTGGTTTATCCGTTAAGTAGTCCAATGTTGATGCAAAAGTTTGCTTGTACTGACCTTGTTTAAATTCCCCTGCTTCTTCAGATGGGGAATTTTGTTTAAATGGTGCCATTTTCATTGAACTATTGAACCAAGTTTTATTGATCGGAGAATTGTGTTTATTATTATTATTACTATTACTATTGCAGTTATATAATGCATTGACAGCAGAAGTATTACACGTTTGAACTAGATAGAGAATGAATAATTCTGCCCATGAATTCATCAGTAATATTAACTGATCACTTGGCTAAAGCAAAAGAAATAAGAAATTTATTCGTAATAAGTAAAGATTATGATCTTTTGTCAAAATCAGGATCTTAATATATGTGTAAAACTTGGGCGCTGTGGTAGTAAGTAATTCCATAATATTGAATTGAATTTTGATTTTCCCGTCGATTGATTGGACCGAAGTGCTCGGTCTCAGGTTGACATGTCGGCTTCTTGTGCAGATGCTTCGACGATCAATCGACGGGAAAATCAAAATTCAATTCAATAATTAATATGACCCGTTGCACAAGAGGTGGCTCTCGTGGCCCAAGTGGTCTAGTGGATAACGCTTTGGCGTTTGAAACTATGGGTACTGGGTTCGAGCCTCGGTGGGAACATCATCTCTCACTGAGAAATGCAGGTACATCCAGCTGACGAGTCCCAAATAGGACGAAATGCGCGTTGTCCTGGATTCCACTGCTAGCCACCATCCACCAATTGTATACTAATTCCATAATAGTTTGTTTATTAGATGTATCATGCACTGAGTGAAACAGTATCACATTTACTGGATGACACAGTTTCGAAAACAATTTATTGTGGTTCATAATCATTTCACCAATTATAATCACACGACTTTGAAACTTGAGTTTTATAGTTTTCTTTGTTCTCTCCTATTTGTCGTCGTAGGGGTGGTAAAATTTTCCAGATATCAGGGACAGGTGATGAATCATTCCTATTACATGTATTTGCAGTTGATTCGATAAACAAGGCTTCTGTTATCAATCTCTCCCACCCTCCACCCTGCTGGTTCATTCGATTTTAAAACTGTCATCCTATCCCATCCATCCTATTGTATGGTTGTGTGTAACTGCATGTAGTGCTATAGCTGAACTACTCTCTAGATTTCTTATTTTATTCGGGTCAACTAATCTAGATCTGGCTAAGTTTTTATGTTCAGCCAGTCTGACTCACTGCACCTGTTCTACTAGATTGACCTATGTATTTGACCCGACAATCATTCCAGACAGGGTATTAGATAAACTAAATTGTTTTGTTTTATAGCCTCCGTAGGAGGGATCCTTTAACCGACAAAGCTTGCTTCTAATTGAGTTTGTGGGTGGTTTGAATGCCAGCCACTTTTATTCCTGCCATTAAAATAATAACAATAATAATGATAACACTAGTAATGATAATAATAATAACAATAGTGATAATAATAATAATATTAATGTCGACACCAACAATAAGGAATCTAAATCATCAGTAGTAATTCCATATAAGGAAGGAACCTCGGAAACCACCTTACGCAGATTTCTTCACAATGCTGGCAGGAATAAAAGTGGCTTGCATTCAAACCACCCACAAACTCAATTAGAAACAAGCTTTATCGGTTAAAGGATCAATCCTGTGCAGCCTTTAAAACAAAACAATTTAGTTTATCTAATACCCTGTCTGGAATGATTGTCGGGTCAAACACATAGGTCAAACTAGTAGAGCAGGTGCAGTGAGTCAGATTAGCCGAGCATAAAAACCAAGCAAAATCTAGATTAGTTGACCGCAGTAATAAGATAAGAAATTCAAAGAATAGTTCAGCCATAGCACTCACTACATACAGTTACACACAACCATTCAGTAGGATGCATGAGATAGGATGACAGTTTTAAAATCTAATGAAACACTAAGGGGAATGATTCAACGCATGTCCACATCGAGATCTGAAAGATTCTACTACCCCAACGACGACAAATAGGAGAAAACAAAGAAAACTATAAAACTCAAGTTTCAAAGTCGTGTGATTATAATTGGTGAAATGATTATGAACCACAATAAATTGTTTTCGAAACTGTGTCATCCAGTAAATAATACTGTTTCACTGACTGTGTGTGATACATCTAATAAACAAACTAAGATGGAAGATCTGGATCTATTTCAATGCAGATTTCGGATCGGATCGGCATCACTTACAAAAGAGTTGAAAATTAGGGATTACTAGATAGCTGTCTCATCTTCATTGGGGACTTTAGCGGTGTGCAGCCATGGACCCATCAGAAATAGAACTAAAAGCCTTTAGGTTATGATGCCAACTCGTTTACCATTTAGTAACTTAGGCTGGAATTAAGTGACCCGAGAATTCTGACTTCTCTTGACTTGTAATATATCGCTACCATTAAAACAGTGGGAGTCCAGTTTATCTTGACATGGTTTCAGGATTTCATCATGAACTGATGGTGCGCCCTGGTGCTTGGAACTCTTCGTCCGTACGCACCTCAATGCCAGGGTTCCAACCTACAAACTTCTGGTTATAGTGAGAGCTCGTAGACCATTAAGCCGTTGGGACTCGATCCAGTGGCCAGTCGATGAATTCAAACTTCTGCCAATTCCTGATATGGCCCATCCACTAACAAATGTCATCGGTGGTGAGTATTTATCCTCACCCCACTGGTCACCACTTACCAATTCAACACCAGTTGAAATTCACTTAAATTCCAAGTCTATGGATGAATGGTCAACTAGCTCGCCTTGTAAACAGAAGGTTCTGCGTTCGGCCCCTGTTGAGTGTGTACTGTTGAAGATTCGCAGAATAAGACGAAACAGCTTGTTTTTCAGTGATTTTCTTAGGTATCTATTGGTGATGAGGATAAATGGAAAGTAATCAGAGTTCCTAGAAAACGCAGTTTTTGAGGAAATTTTACGCATCATCGAACGTAACTCTTCTTATCCTGCATATATATATATATATATATATATATATATATATTCGTTCTTGCACTGAACTCATAATGGTGACAATGTAATTATTGAAACGTCAGTCACGAAAATAAATTCATTCATTTGACGCCTCAAGACATTTCACAAGGCTTGTTTCACTAACATAACACCTTGATTCACTATGGCTGTCGGAATACACAAGAAGTATATGTGGCGTATCCGATGATATTAGTGTCGAACCCACTGTGTCGTTTGTAACAGAAACTGCTCAGAGCTGGCTGGCATTATGTGAAGCTCCGCCCATTCAAACATCATGAATATCGGCACTGCCACAAGATTAGTCACAAAGATTATTTTCAAGTGCTGGTTTTGTAGGGATTTTGTTTGATTGCATGGAGGATTTAATCATGAGCTGACATCATCGATTGGCTCTACACTAATATATAGTCGTTTTTCACATCACAATTGTTTTGACTAATCAAGTGGTTAGTCAGTTTTACGTATGGGGAGGACGGGAGGGGTTAGATTAAGAGGTTAAAAGTCATCAAAACAATTAACCGATATATGTTAATAAAGAGGTATCTGAGTTTTGAAGGAAGGGTGAAAATTAATCAATTACGAAATTCAAGATAAGTTAATTCTTAAGCATTGGCAACAAGTTGTTACATTATAAAATAAATTTGTTAAACAGTGATGATGATTAGGAAGAATTATGTAAAATACAAACAAGTTAATAGAATTAGCCAGAATTGTAAAAATTAGCTAAGTCAAAAGATATTCAATTGGTGGATGGTGACTAGCAGTGGAATCCAGGGTGTGTATTTCGTCCTATTTGGGAGTCGTCAGCTGGATGTACCTGCGTTACTCAGTGAGTGATGATGTTCCCACCGAGGCTCGAACCCAGTGCCCATAGTTTCAAGCGCCAAAGTGTTATCCACTAGACCACTTGGGCCACGACAGCCACGTCTTGTGCAACGGGTCATATTAATTATTTAATTCAATTTTAAATTTTTCCGTCGACTGATTGGACCGAAGTGCTTGGTCTCAGGTTGACATGTCGGTTCGAGCCTCGGTGGGAACATCATCACTGACTCACTGAGAAATGCAGGTACATCCAGATGACGACTCGCATATAGGACGAAATGCGCGTTATCCTGGATTCCACTGCTAGTCACCGTCTGCCAACTAAATACTAACTAAATGCTCAGACATCGTCGAAGCATCTGCAGAAGAAGCCGACATGTCAACCTGAGACCGAGCACTTCGGTTCAATCAATCAACGGGAAAATCTAAAATTCAATTAAAGTCAAAAGATACTTACAAGGGGAGAGGAAAACTGTTTTTAAAAACTTAACCTATATTATTTAGTTGACCATGACAAAGAAAGGAGCTGCACAAGCTTCTCTTGAACACGCCCAGATTTAGCTTGTTCACACAAATTCTAATTGTCTCTGCTGTATGTAAAAGTCGTACTCGTAGACCATTCAAGTTGGGTTGGGTGATATATGATAAATAAATTTAAAAGCTTTGTTAGATTATTATTGCAAGTAAGATAATCGACAAAGGTCAAGAAGTCGAATGTCAAAGGCGTCCTATGCCCGATTCCATGAGCATTATAGTCGGTTATAGCGTCATTGTCTGTACACCCCGAAAACAGATAGATGTCGTGACCATCTCACGGCCTGCATGTTTTCGAATCAATGCGGCATCTGATAGCAAAACAGTATCGTAAAAAAAAAACTATGGCCGAAGTTGAAATACCTCAGCATAGAGAAGACAGATCAGACAGGAGTCAGTGCATTAGACGGAACATCCAGTTCATTGGAACATGCTGCATCAATAATTTCAACCTTGATGTGTTGGTTTCAGGTTGGTTCGAGAAAGTACGGCTCTCAGAGATCCCATTAGACAGCGAATGTCATAGGGTTGAAACTATCCAGCCCTCAGCATCAACTCAAGGATTAAATATGTTGTTCAATCCTTGATTGAGGTTTGTAATGCAATTGCAGCTTGACATAAATTTTAAACTTTTTGACCGAAACAACCTGTTCCATACGTCTTATTACAAATCGTGGAGACCAAGTTGAAAAATACTGATTCATGGAGTCGTTCGCACGGCTTGGGAATGCACTGACTTAATTTACTTCTGTGTAGGTGAACTTTAATTGCTTGTAGAACAACTCGATATAAACGAACTGACCACTTGAAGTTAAGCGTGTTCCTTTCCGAGCACATTGCGTGCACTTATGTGTGCAGATAGATACTGACAAAGACATGGGCATGGTGTGACGACAAATAAGTATCAAGGGTTGCTTTGCAGGGTTTTGT